ACCATGTTAAGGAGAAGTTTCGTTTACAACTCAGTTATTATCTACAATAAGATAAAAGAACATTCGAAAAAACTCTGTTGTCAGTTTCTAGGAAAAAAACTCAACTATCCACTCAAATTAAAAATATGTATATATTTTTTCTTGTTTCTATTGATCAAAAATGCTAAACATTTTTATAATACTTTTTTTTTATTCCCGCATTCTTCTTTTTCGTTCTTCTGTGAATTTAGGGGTGTTTTATTGGAAAATGGCCTTTTTTCTAGGTTTTCCAAAAATTCAGGTACAACGTTCAACATATAATCATTAAAATCATTTGACATTTGATTAGGATCCCCACTCACTTAAAATATTACACTGAGTGTTTGAGCTAGACACCTCAGGCTTAAAAAACATTTTGCTCTTATTAGCCGATATGTTCCAATTGGTGAGCCATGTAAGATACATAAATTCGTTTGACACAACTGGGGTAAATTTGGCGTGCAGATCTATAAATAGCGATGTGCATAAAATATCGGAATAAGCCTTAACCCTTAAGCTTAACTGCAGTGTTATGTTACTCAATCGGAAAAACAAAAAACAGCTTTTAAAAGAAAATTTCAAAATTCATATAAATAATTCACGTAACAGTTATGGACAAGGTAAAAAAAATAAAAATTTTATTTGAGGATGATTTGCTACTTTTTGTCTCTTGCTCTCTTCTTTAAAATGGGGAAGAAGCTGTGCGATAGTGTTGACTTGTCTGTTACTTTCTAATGCGAAATCGCTAACTTTGTTTGCCTTGATAAACCCAAAGGGAATATTCTTTATAAAATCCAATATTCACAACTATCAACGAACAAAAATGAATTAGACTGGTTGAAGATTGATAATGTCTATCAATATCATTTGATAATTTTTGTCTACGGGATATTATCTACTAATTCACCTAGCTGGTTACGTGACAAATTCACTTTCAGGTACAAGATAATGCAAATTTGAGATTTTTAAATAAGTTATCTCTTCCTTGTTTTAAGTCGACCATGTTAAGGAGAAGTTTCGTTTACAACTCAGTTATTATCTACAATAAGATAAAAGAACATTCGAAAAAACTCTGTTGTCAGTTTCTAGGAAAAAAACTCAACTATCCACTCAAATTAAAAATATGTATATATTTTTTCTTGTTTCTATTGATCAAAAATGCTAAACATTTTTATAATACTTTTTTTTTATTCTCGCATTCTTCTTTTTCGTTCTTCTGTTTTAATAACACCTTCGAACAACTTAATTTTTGACAATCAATTTGTAAGATATATATTTGAGTTTACAATTCCCGGTAGCTTCTTGTCCAGCATATCTTTCTTTTGTGGTTCCTAAGTGGTTGTCATTTTTTAAGTACAACGAGTGTATTATTCTTCTGATAGCAGTCTCTTTATCTGCATTTATTAAAGATCCTTTTCCTGCCATGCTTATATTTGGTAACGTCACAGGGCCGCGTTTATAGTGGTATATATTTGTGCTCCGAATGAAGACCTTTGAATACATTGAGAATAATAAATTTCTCATTTACAGAAACTGCGTTTCTGTAAATGAGAACAACAAATCCGAAAACACCATTTTCAAGCACGAACATTTATTAATATATTAATATATAAATATTATTACTCCTTCAATTATGGTTCCTAATCAAGGCTTCAATTGTTATTATAAAGTAATAAATTTACGATTGCTAAATAATAAAAGTATTCTTAATTCAAAAAGAAAAGGTGTAGATGCACAAGAAGGAAAAAGGGTCTATTTTGAAATAAATGATCCTACACTACTAACTCCGTAAATGTTCGAACCATCACACTCATGACATTGATGAAACCTCTAATGCGTAGACATTGCAGCAGCTTCAATTTCTTTTCTCCTGAGTGGCTTCCTATCTTCGAATTTTCATGTCGTCTCTCGTTGTTGGTGAGAATTGATGAACAATATCTTTTAACCGACTCAACAAATAGAAGTCCAAACAAGTCAGGTCTGGGGAACAGGGTGGCCAAGGAAATAGACTTTCTTGTCCGATCCACCTCTGGTGATATGTCTCATATAAATTTTCTAGTACATTTCTTAAAAATGTGCGTGGCAAAAACAAATAGGCAATTGGTTTTAGAGAAAATCATGAAACACTTCAACATTTAGTGGTTGTTCAAAGAAATAGGAACACCAACCTGTGAGGATTGTTGTGGGACCAATAATGCATATTACGCAGACTAACACTTCCAACACTTCTGAAAGTAGTCTCATCTGTCCAAAAATTTACAATGAAATGCCTCTATTGCCAACATCCAGGGACAATGGATCTGTCGGTCGACGTCTTCATCATTTAAGGCTGATTTAAAACCACATAATATGGCTCCACCATAAAATTTTTATATAAAACTTTTGATCCATTTTTAAATGTTTAGATGTGATATACCCAGCCCGAGAGACATTGCCGTCCTACTAATGTGAGGGTCAAATTGCATGTATGCTTAGACATAAAATTCTCGCATCGCTTAAAGACAGATTTGGGTGTCTAGCTCTGTTTATGGCCCGATTATATCGATAGATTTGTAAAAGGCATTTTATTAGGTTTAAGGCCTTACTTATATGTGCAACAAACACAGTACACACAATACAAACTTTGTTGACAAGTTGATTTTTACCATTTGTTTTACCTCCTTACCTATTATACCCCTACCAGAGTTTCTTCTTATTTTTTTGAACTCAGAATGCCTTTGATATTTCGAAGTCACAAAATTTTGAAATTTTATAATTGGGAGTTTTAAGGCTAGAAATAATATATCAAGATACGGTTTGCACCAGCCTATTTAGGTATAATTTCGCAAAATGCACTATCATTGCATTTAATTGTTTTGCCAAGTTGGTAAAAATCCCTTCAGTTGTTTAGGAGTTATAGCTGCTCATTCAAAAAATTTTTGAAACACCCCCCCACCACTTTATTTTGATAGATACCCCAAAAAGTGTTAAAAATCACCTGTATAAAGCATGTCTTCTAAATAGATTTTTTTTTGGTACATTGATTAGTGAAAAATTAATTTTTAAACTTAAGGTAGCCATTGCTCCTCCTGGTGACCATCTTCGCATGATTATCGCAATTCTCTACGACGAATAGTTTTCCAGAGACATCACTTTTCTTTCTTATTTGACCACCCTGTACAATATTGAGGTATAAATGGGATCAAAATGTTTGCAGATATTGCTTGTAATCAATTGTATTCCCGAGGGAAATTAATTTCCGAACACAATAATAATAATACCGCTATCTATACAGGAATAATAGTGGAAACGAAATTATCAGTATATGTTTCTTGTTTAATCTAACGCCATATTTTGCTATTCGCCGCACAACCAATGACACAAGGGTGACTGATATATTTTCAAAGTTAAAGAGTTAAAAAATCAATGGCTAGAAAAAATTATTCAAACAATTTTTGACAATTTCACGTTTTTCATATCTAGAGATTTTGGAAGGTACTAAAAGTGTGGTGGTACTATACTGGAATACTACAGTTTATGTACAAGAGTAGTAAGAGACGAGTGTAATATTTCCTAATGGGCAATACAACAAAGCTGGTCCCTTAGCAACAAAAATGACTTCCTATCATTCTTCTACCTAATTTTTTAAAGAAACTTCTACAGTAATACTTTTGACAAAACTTCTGGATTCTTCCTGCGTCGCTTGTTGACTTCTTCAGTTTCAGTTAAACTTTGAAGAAGCCAGCAGGATGATTGGCGAAACGTCAGCAAGTTCGAATCAGCAAAAACCGACGCAGGAAGAATCCAGAAGTTTTGTGAAAATTATTCTTCTGCCTATTTTAGGGCATTTTTAAAAATTGAACAAACAAATTTGAAATATTTATATCATTAAGAGTTACGTAGTGCCTCGAGTCCATTTTTTGCTTGCACCACCACTCGGATATTTCCATCTTTCCGAGGGAAAACTTCTGATATTTTTGCCACAATTATCATTCCCGATTAGCACTGCATCACATATATTCATCATTTGGGATATTTTCGTGGAAATGTTATTAAATTATCCCTTAGCTTTAGACCATATATCGGTTTACGATTCAAATTAATATTTTTCATTCGAATTTCTCCTGCGCTTTATATTGACTCTGTCTTGCTGTATTAATCTCCAACATCCCCCAACATCTACGATTCGTTGAAGATAAAATTTCCCTAGAGGCAGCAAGTACCTACGGTATGCCGTCTAACTGTGGGACAAAATACATCGCAGAAATAGCTCGAAAATTAGCTACCAGCAGCAGACTTCGACAGTAACGACGTTGGTAGTTCTTGAACATAATCACGAAGTAAGATCCCAGACTAAAACACTTGTATCTACCACTTCAAAAAATCAAAAGTCTCCCAAGATCATCAAACACCCTAATAACATTAACCGCGATGCAGGTAATTATCTCTCGTCCATTCGGTCTCTGTGAAGCGATTACACCACCCAGTAGGTACTAAAGTTGCTTGCTTCAGTTTCAGGTTGCTCCTTGAAGAAGTAATTAGACGTATTCTCGGCAGATAGGCTTTCCTCGAAATTATTCTTAGTAACCGCTTGAGTAATCGTACTAGTCTCCCAACCATCATCCATTCCATGATGCGGCTGGTGGATCGAAACGCCAGATATGGATGCCATTAAACAAATTCTCGCTGCATATAAATTATAATATTACAAGAATATAATACCCCAATATGGTTAGTAAATATTTGTGAATTTATTTCAAGGAACCATCTACATCTGGTTTACGTTCAGTGTTATTTTGAGCATTGGCATTTTTCTAATTATTTTGTATAAACCGCCTAATCACCACCCAGAATCAGCAATGAATCTCGGCATCAAGGCACCAATTTCAGATTTTGTATTAGCTTTTATTTTTTACCAATTGAGCTATAACGCAGATGGCAGAAGCTCATAGCAACACCTCTTTGTAGATGCTAAACAGAAAGCACATAATAAACAACAATCAATATTTACGAATTCTTAATTTATTTCCATAACCCCTAGCAGCAGAAAATTTTAATTTAATGAATGATGGCTACTAAATTCAGTTAGGACTGGGAATATTAATTGAAGTTCCATCATTTTCTGTTTTCCTTAGGAGCCATACTGCCCAGAATACAATTAATAGCGGTTAGTACAATCTCTTCGTTCCTCTCTGGAAGCTTTATCAACTGATCTACTGCACACGCGGGAACGTCACCAAGCACCAAGTCTTTGTAAACGTTGAGCAGTGAGAGCAAATCGGCTACGACAGCCAAAGCTTCGGACTGCAATTTTCCGATATTCGCTATGACCTCGGCGAGGCACAAATCTCCCAGGAAACATTTCTCGAGGTCGCTTTCTATTCGCTTCAAGTCGGTGTACAACGTTGTCAAGGAGGTTACGGCATCCTCGTTGACTTTGACGATGCTGTCCATGCGTTGCGTGGTACATACTCCGATTTCGTAGACTGTGGTGTTCAACGATAGCCTTGCCGCATCTTTCTGGAGTTCCACGCATGTCAGGATATCAACCACGTCTTCGGTGGTGATCGGTTTGAAGTCATCCATAAGCTGGTCCAGCTTGTCGGTCACTACATCGTAGAGTGTATTGGCGAGTTTGACTTCTCCAGCTTCCAGCAGTTCTCTGGTACGCGTTGAATTGGATATGGCGGTGACGCCTTGAGAAAAAGCATCTAGAACTTTTCCGAAAATGTCGACTACTACCTTGAGGACGGTTTGGACTGTATCTTTGTTAGAGCCCAAGGTTGGGGTTGCCTAGAACAGGGGAAAGGGGAAACTTCGGTTCCGTTTTTCTAGAAAAATTAGCCTTCGGAAACTGGTGAAAAATACAAAGAAGTTGCGTTTAAATTATTTTAAAATAAAATTTGAGTACTCCCTAATGCAGCTAAATGAAGTAACATAGAGGCTGTCTTTTTGGATTAAGAAGTTCAATTTCAAAAAATTTACATTCTTAAATATAAAAAGAAATACAAATATCTAGGCGGCAGTTGTATGAATCATCGTTCAAGGACCAAGAGGACAGAGAGAAGAATACTTCATTTTAGTTCGTTCAGATTGGAACATACCATAGTTCATACCATGGAAATAATCGAAACTGGGCTTGCCGTAATTTTTATCCTGTGACTTTTTCCTCTTAGAGTTGCCCTTGCCACAGTATTTTTAAAACATTGAAAATAAACATTATTTGCTAAAGGCATTGTTATATTGTTTCACGATAAATAAAAAATATTCGTGAAATTTAAAAATTATAAACTTTTATAATTGAAAAATAATAATAATTTACGAATAAGATTTCGGGATACGGTTTTCAGTAGCCTATTTTGCACATTTTCAATGCCGTATAAAAAAGTGCGCTTTAGCCACATCAATAGGAACCAGATGTAATAGATGCTATTACAACGAGACCAGGTCAGTCAATATCTATTCAGTCGTTTAGGAGTTACAAATGGTAATTTAAACAAGAATTGAACCACACCTCACCACATTATTTTAATAGATACGTCAAAAATTGTTAAACAACAATCACTGGAATAAAGCTTAACCTTAAATATATTTAACTTTACTTTATATACTTTGTCTTCCTTTGGATATTTTGATAACCAATTATTTTACTGGAAGTGTCTATACCAAATAGTTTTTGTCCTAAAGCATTTTACCAAGCCACCCTGTACAAGTCGTCGTTGATTGCAAAATCAAATTGCTTTTAAATATTAATAACATCGAGCTTTAAAAAGCCAAACCATTTTTCATCAGAAAACTTCTGCTACTAGTATTTTAATACTTTCTTTCAATTAAAGAAATACTAAAAAAGGCTCACCTGCGCAACTAGAAGCAAGCTAAAAAATATCGTGATTACTTTGAAGTTCATTCTCGATGATGTCGACTAGTAAAATGCTTAGCACCCAGTCAGTTTTATGTATTATCAAAAATCTAGATAACACTCAAGTAGCAACTTAACATCATGTTGGCTGCTCGACTATCTTTTCCGTTTAATTGTTAGACGGTTCAGTTCAGATATCCTAATACTTTATCAGTAATTGACAATACTGTTGTGCAATTATCGTCAGAACTCAAACAAAGCCGCAAAAATGTAAAACATTGCCCTCTACAACAGTACAATGTTTACACACTGATACAGTTTTTGGTAAAACATCTGGATTTAAATCATTTTAATTCCATTTTTAATATAAGTAACATTTAAGTCTGACCTACGATATCGAAAATTAGGCTGAAATCCGATTGGTTTCATTTTATTTCCCACTAGACATTGGTTTCTACATCGCCTGTTACTACCGAAGGTCAAGTGGAATCAAAATTAAAGCGAACTTATCTTTGCCGACACTATTCATTGTAATAATAATATAGAACGTTCAATTTTTTTTTAATCCTTAAGACATTTCAATCAAAACGGATTGGAAACTGCCATAAAGACGTGAATGCTGATGTTTTTGAAGACTGCTTCCAGCAAATATCTCCTATAGTCATGGATAACGCCTTCTTCTGATGCCATGAGCGCTTCCTGTATGTCCTCGATCTTTCCATGAACTTGGGTATGGTGTATCATGTTTCGGTCATACTAGGGATACGTAACGATTGACAAAGTGTTCGCATCTCAAAGGCTTCAATTTAGTTCAGCGATCTTATTTTTAATGACCAGGCAGTGCAATGCTACGGGCCATACGTAACATTGAACCACACGTATTCGGATAGTATGTGACATAATCCTACGAAGTAGAACATTCCTAACTTTAAAAAATGTTGTTTTTGACCAGCGTATCATTTCTTTCAATTCTTCGTCACAATCCTGAGCGTTACTTCGAGATAGGTAAATCCTTCGATATTTTCCTCGTTGATATTTAGAGCGGTATTACGCTGTTGTCTGCCTATCCTCAACATAATTGTTTTCAATATGTAGCCCAAACCTTTCACCACATTGATTGAGTATGTACAGTAACCACGAGCTTGCGAGCCATGATTGCGGCACGGTCAGCATAGCGGATATTATTTACTGGCGTTTTATTAATTTTTAAACCTCGCGTGTCAATCTTCACGAAGATATTTTCTCAACCTTAATGTTGCTAGCTGTGGCTATTATTCCATTCTATTCAATTACAATTCTGATAACCTTATCTTGAACAAGGATTTCCTTTAGTGATTCTATTAGCGTTCGTTGGTAGTCGATATATCGGATGAAAACATCTTGCATTTCTGTACAGGGTGAGTCAACATTAGAGTAAAGTTCATTATCTCATTGGTTTCAAAAGTTTTGAAAAAATGGTTAACACAAAACTTGTAAAGATCGTTAGGATGCACAATTTAAAGTTATTTTAAAGTATATAGGGTGGCCCAAAAATACGTGACGAATATTCCTTAACTTTTATATTAATATATAATATACATACCTTAGCGTAATAGTTTATCGAATTGCTTAATGTTCCTAAAAAAATACTAGTTTTCATAGTCATCATTACCTTTAAAGGTAAGATTACTCATATTTGATATTAGCGTTATTTATAGTAAAAGATATATGCAACGGGAATTAAATTAAATGGTACACATGATTTTTTTTCTGCTTACTTTAGAAACCTACAACTTTTCTTAAGTATACCACTTAACGGACCTAGATATTTAAACTTTTTGCAGAATGATTTCCCTCAACTTCCTCAAGACGTTATTGTCATTAATTATTGTTTATCAGAAATTACATTTCTATAACAAGAAATTCGCATCCGACATTACACAAGCCTAAGAAAGCAAAATGGTAAAGTAATAGCGTGTGATTTTAAATACACAGTAGCACAGTTTTATTTTTATTTATTTGTTAGAAAGGCACAGTCCTTTAATATATTTATGATAAGATAAGCAGGACGTTTTCACTTTAACGCTTTTGTAAAAAAGGTGATTCAAGATTTAAAGGTTTAGCAAATGAAGTGTGTGAAACTAGTTTCAAAGCGACGCAAAGCATTTGAATTTCATTTAGTAAGTAACAATAATCTTCTTAAACAGTGGATCCGTACTCGCTCACGTATGTCGGTATAGAGCCAACGCAAGTGCGATAGAGCTTGTTCTAAAATAGAGTATAAAGGATCGAATCAAAAGCCCGTATAAAATCAACGAAAGTTACAAAAACTTTTTCCCAGTTGGATTCGAGGATAAAACATAAACCTTGTCGGTACAGTTGCGTCGGGATCCAAAACCTTACTGAGATTCGGGAATTGCATGTCACACCAAAAGCCTTTTTGAGAAAATTCTCGTAAATAGTGTCGTTGTGTAACTAACTAGCGCCATAGGGCTGTAATTTGTGGGATAGTCAAAACTGTCTTTTTTGTAGATTATATAAATATATTATTGAATAGTGAACACAGATACAATAACTAGTTATCTGGTAGATTTTTTAAAAATTGGTACGGTATTAGATCCATATCAAGAACATTATTGGACTTACATTGTTTTAAAATGGTGTTGGTGACGATTATGCTGTACAGAGAAAGCTCCCGCCAGTCGTAAACGGTTAAATTTCTCTGTTGTTCAAGGATTTCAATACTTAGTTCCAGATGTTGTATGAAAGTTGTTCTTGCTGAAAATTGCATTTCTGTTTTAAATCGAAAATAAAAAATAGCTCGAGACTCGTTCCAGTGAAGACGTGGTTCAGAAGCTGCGGCATATGAGTTTTTTTTTGGAATAGAGACACATAGACTAACCAAATATATCACCAGAACTCCTTCATTCGTTACAATAAAACCGATTCAACTTAGTTGTTCAAACAGTTAACGCCTTTATAATTTCGGTTTCGGTAAATCCTTCAACTCTCCTAGCTCACCTATTCTCCAGTTAAAATCCCCAAGGACGAAGAAAGGCGACTAGTTTCCCTAGTTAGTTTCCATACCTTGGAACACTTCGAAAACAATATCAAAATTTAATGACGGCTTAAAATAAACTATTCAAATGAAAAACGATGAAGACATATGCGCAATGTTAACTACTAACCCCCAGGGTGCTTCAAGAAGTTAATAACGTTGAGATAAATTAAATGTGGTTTCAGCAAAATTGAGCTCCTGCGCCTTAATATCGAAAATGTTGAGAATTTTTAAATAATTATTAGAGGTGGACTCATTGCATGGTTTCCTCGATCATGTGACTTAACGCCGGTAGATTCTTTTTTCTGGGGATATGCTAAAGATCTCCCTACCATACCAGAAGATATGGAAAATGAGAATAACACCGTTTTGGTAAGGAACGTCCGAGAAAATACACGAAAAATACTAAACATGTGTATCCAAGTAGAAGGGCATATTTCTAAAAATTTATTGCTCCGTAATAACAATTAAAAACAAGATAAGTTAATATTTAGTAAACATTAGGCCATTATTTTCATCAAAATTTCTGTCTGTTGCTTTATCTACTGCTCCAACAAAGTTCTTGGCTAATGCTTTTTTTTATCAGAAAAAAGCATAATTATTGGAAAACTTAAACCTATAAAAGTTGTATGTTTTAGTAAGATCTTTCAGAAAAAATAATATCTATGATGTGCCAGTAAAGAAAATCACCATTTTTCAATTTTAAATGATCGAAATATATTCTTTGATTTGCATATATTTTTTACGTCATATTCGAATAACCCTAATATAAAATTTGGGCGATCTAGCATCAAAAACAATTTTTTTTGCAAGTGTGGAAACCAGTATTTTCTTAGAAAAATTAAAATGTTGGAAAAACTATTAGCCTTAGGGTAGGTTATTAATAAAAAATTGAAGAATTGTAGAAAAAAAATAGAGATAAAATAATATTATGAACTTTCCTCTATTGTTCACTCACCCTGTACAAGAAGTTTCATTGAGAGTCTCTCGTGCCAAGTTCTTTAACAAAACCGAAATTTGTGTGTGCTACTCATATCCTAACCCTTTTTAGATATCCTTAGATGAATAACTCCGAGAAATGCCTTAAGTGCGTGACTCAACAGAGTTCAGTCTATAATCTGTATATCTTTTAGGTTTGTTTCCTTTGGAAAAAGGAGCTACTATAGATTGTAAATTTCAATAAAGCTCATTGTACGAAATTCGTTGAAGACAAAATCACTTTTGCCTTTTAGAAAATGCAGATGCGATTTCAGATCATCAAAGTATTTTCTGTTATTTGAAATTATATGTTGATGAGACACCCCATATGTTTGTCACATACAGAAACTTGAAACACGTTAGTAATCAAAAATTATCAGTAGATCTTCAGTTAGTAGACTGAGATTCTATAATGGCATTGGGGATAAGATTTTTTTTAGCAGATAATATTTTAAAGATATTTGAAAAGCATTCATCTTATTTAACATTCCATATAACAAAACTTTACTCTCGATGGGTCACCCAAAATGTTAAAAAAAAAATAAACTAACGAAACATGGCTTTATGTATTTACAAATGTATACGCTTGGTAACGGATTGGGCTTACTAGAAAACTTTACGAAATTCTCTTGCAGCTGCAAATAAACTAGAAAAGAGGTGTTACCTTCAGCGTTTGTTGCAAGGAGAGCTGGATACGCGTGCCTACTCTTAACATTTCAAAGGATCTTTTAGACGATACCAAAATTAACAATTTCTTTTCCTCTGTTTTTTGTCCCTATCACGTAGTTTCAAAAGTAGTAACCATTTGTCTTTTTCGCTTCGTATAACAAGCGTTCATGAAATTTCCTATGCAATTCAGTTCCGGCGATTTTCAAGCACCTAACACCTGATTGTTCTATTGAAAACGCCTATTCTCCCCTGCGGCGGAAGCTATCTTTAATTTAACCCTTCCCGAAAGTAGCTCAGCCTAAATATCTCTGATTCCAACTCCGGCCAAGATACTGGAAAGGGTTGGGTTACACAGCCATTTGATTTGCAGTCAGGATTTCGCAAAAACCAAGGTACTACTTCAACCCTCGTCAATATTACTTCTCCAAGGCGTTCGACGCCCTAGACCACGCACTTTGTTGCACTTTGGGT